TATTAAATCATGAAGTTGAGCGTTAGTCTCTCTGAACAAGTCATATATATATATATATATATATATATATATTAATAACGCGTCCAAGTCCAAAAAGTGAAAGTACAAAGATCTTTATAGAAAGAAAAAATCAATGATTTGCATGTGGATGAAATACTTCCGGGTTACCCAGGCCAAAAGCAGGTGAAATTACTTGAGGACTTCGCAATCGGAGCATTCGGCTACACAACGCCTGACCCGCAAGGCAGTGGACGTTGTGTAAGAAACGCAATCTATTGCGATTTGGTGTCCAGTTCTTCTGATCATACACCCACTGGACGGGTTTAAACGTCCAAGATGCTTGATACCCTTCGATGCCCAATTATGCCGGTGTGGGTGCATGAGGTTCATACACTTCTTGATTGATCTGGAGTCAGGGTTTTTATCCCACTTCCTCAAGTAAACTACTAGTGATTTACCGACCCGGCTATAGCGCCGGATGTCAGCTTTTCGTTCTCTTACTTTGGTGGGTAAACACCTCCACCACGAGGAGGCAGTGCGTAGGGCTCCCTCAACAGAGGCGTTTTTGGGTCGCTCGGTCGAATAGGCATATTTCGCGAGGTGCAACGGAGGGATGATCAGCTACAACCCAAGACACCCACCAACAACTATACCGAGGCTTTCGGAGGCGAAACAATTCGTGTAACCAGAAGGAGGGTTTGACTAGTTCTCAGCTAGAAGAATCTGTAAATCAAGTGTTACCGTGTATCTAGGGTGTGTGGGTTGTATTTTATGGCTAGCGCCGTTTCACTTAAGGTGAACTCTTTCGAAGAACTCTCCTAAGCAACGCAACACAACAACTTTGAGCGATTTCACCAGGTCAGCCTGCGGGCTTCATGAGGTGTTGGCGAGGTTCAACTCTATCGATGTCAGTTTTCCCCCGTTATCACCATCATCTGCGTCCCAATGACTTATTGATTCATCATCATGACTGAGGATCGAACCCAGGACATAGTCTCGAAACTGGACTACCAGTGAACTGAGTAGATTACTCCACCTTGTCTAAACAAGTGCAACGTTCTCTTCAGTTCCTATTGGCTACTCTACTCGCGATGATCACATCGAATCGTCTACAGTAAAAGAAAATGTGGTATTTTTGTTGTCTGCTTGGATTTGACCTGTCAGATGTTGATTGTGCTTTCGCTGCACGTTTGTATTCTATCGCTGCCGTATAACTTTTCTCCCGCTTCCATCTTCACACACACACACACACACACATACACAGTCAACCCACCCGTGTCATCAACCAGACCGTTCCGATAAAACCCCAAAACGTGATCGCCCTCAGAGGTTTTGATGCGCGGACCCGAGTTCCATCACCATCACCACCGCCACCACGACCCCCACCACAACCAACGACACAGCAAATGATTATATCCACCGAGAAAATTCCGCGTCGTGAGTTATCATGTGATACGGGACTAGGACCTTCGTTGATGCACAGTGCACGTAACGAGAGTGGTTCCGATGTGAGTCGATGGAGTGGTCAATCGATCGAATCGAACAGAACATTCAGCTCCGGTGATTGTGCCACGGACCACGGTCTGATCCCATCTTCGTCTTCGTCATCAGCATCAAATGCAGATGGCGGTTCACCTAACTCGATTCCGTTCCCATCCGTCCCGTGCAACTCAACAAACTCGAACGGGACGAGTCGAGTGATTCGCGTGTACTATCCGGACGAGCAAGATGGCTGTGAAAAAAGCCAGAATGACCCGTTCCTACTAACACGACCCAATTCACTTTTGCCAGCCGCTTCCTCCCGTCCCCAATTGGCCCCTAGGATTACTGTACAGCCGGCTTTGAACCGTCCAGGACCGGGTAGTTCAACATCCAAGTGTTCCGATCAACTGAAATTGCATTGTTCACGTTTGCCGGTGAGTGACTACAACTTATCTTGTCCTTTATCATCGTACAATTGTGAATCGACATAGTTCACTGCAAAAACTACAAAAATGGGTATTGTAAATGGTTGGTTTCATTCGTTCGGAAATTCGCTGATTTCCGCACTCACACTGCATACATTTGTACAATGCTTAGGAAGCAAGAACTTCTGGTCTGGTCTTCGGTTCTTGTGGATTTTCATCAATAGCACTTGTACTTTTATAGTCCACAAAGACTCATTCCACAAACCTTTACACGGTTAAAGGAGATTGACTCCGATTATTTGACTGATACATCTGCATGGTTAGCTGGGTAGCCATATGTCCCATTCGCCACCGTCAGTTAGTGTTTTGTCACAATTTCTGCTTGAATTTTTTGTTGTACTCTTCCCCGGGGTAATGTTCTAGACAATTTGACCAAAAGCAAGCCAAATTTACGAGAACAATGTGAACAGATTCTTGACCCGAGTATGTTGTCCAAGAACGGTGGCATTTGTGCATCAAATAAAGTTTCAAAGTTTTATTGTGGGAATAACTTACAAGATCATGCCTTTCCCGTCTCATAGGTTCGTGTTGTGGTTAAAAGACAGTGATACATACAGTTCCTTGTGTAAAATGTCACGTGATACGTGCTTCCTTCACTGTTGCACGCAGCTTCACTTATGTTGGAATGTAAGGTGTGCTAATGTTTCATCGAGTCTCAGTTTGAAAGATTCAATGCTTGGAGCACAGACGACGTGGGGTGGGAGATCGAACTGATCGAACACACTCTGATTGCGAATGACTGACGCTAGCATTCCAATCAGCATTTTGAGACCACCATTCCGAACGGATCTCCTCTAAGATGAATGTTCGGTGATAATTCTAGCAGCAGACGACACGGGTGGCTTGAGTTTTGCATCATTTGGTATACTATAATCATGTCTACTCCGATGCACCGTTGGTGATTGGAATATAACCCCAGCGACTTTGGTCTCTCTGCGTATGAATAACGATTCAACTCCCTTACCATTTGGGTGACAATACTTTGTGGACGCTCTAGCATTTTGCAATCACGTTGTAGCCATGGGTTCTATGCTTGGATAGCCTACTCTGTGAGTGGGCGAATTTATGCTGATAGCAGACGGGGAAAAGCGCCGACTCAAACCATCCAAAGATTCTCTTAGATAAACCAGCATTTCTTACAGCTGCGTTCACCACCTTGGCGCATTTGTGTTAGCAGCTTAAGTTTTCTTGAATGATAAAGCCAAGGTCCTTTTCACTGGAAATACATAACAGCTGTTCATTTCCGAGGAAATACGAATAGATCGAACCTTACACTTTGGCACATTAAATTCAACAGTGTTCAAAAGAAACTAGTCACTATGCTTGTAACCCTCATCTCCGTTAAAGCTCTCGAGCTCCAATTTGACACAGAGTTCAATATTTCCACCTCGCCTTTACCACTTCATCCAGATGGGTAGCCAAGAGACAAGAACTAAAAGCGTTGCACGGAAGTGCATGGCTAATGGTTGTTTAAATTGAAACTGAAACTGATCGGATCCAAGGCACTTTTCGTATTTAAGATTGAAAGAACAAATTCTCGGATTTTGCTGTCTCATTCTGTCTATCTGTATTACCCGTTCCTGTCGAAAAAGGCATATAGGCCGCACGGCTGGACATTTGTCCGAACCAATCCATAAACAACATCCTGAACAGCAGTTCATTCACCAGGACAGTGGTTTCGCACGTTGCTGAAACAAGTCTCATTGTGAACGTGGCCGAGGTATTTCGCCCCTCAATACGGGGTTCTCGGTCGACTATCAAAGCTGGTTTGCTGGCCCAGTAAAAACGGTATAAATTCATGTATACAATCCCCTTCAGTGTACTCAAAACAACTTTTTTTTGCAGTTGCCTAAACTTCCAGGATCTGTCCCCCCCCCCATTCCTTGCAATACCAACAATGAAATTTTATGTTGCTCTGCATCAATTTTTTTCTAATTTTGAGCTACAATTGTAATGCAAACGTACTCCTGGCGCTGTCTTCATCTAAAAGTATTCAGAGATGCATAATAGGATGTCCTTCGGCTCGTATTCTTGCAGATGGAGACGATTCACGGCTAAGCGAGCAACGGAACGAGACAGGGTAGCGGTGAAACGAGCTACCGAACAACCAGGGCACGGGGTTGTTGACATACACTTTCAAACAGTTTCTCGGGGGGGGGGGGAGGGGAGGTCGTGGCTAAAGATAAACTGGCAGAGTGAAAGAAGTGGAATGCCAATGTCTAGTGAGATAAGAGCGCTCACGATAAAATGTGATTAGCACGGTTGCCAAGCTTGGAACAATTTTTGAATCACGTTAAAGTTTATCCTGACACTTAGTGTCACACCAAGTCTAGTAATTAAACAGGAGAATTAAGAACATTGTAGTGCCAGATGCATCGACGTGCAAGTGCAATATGTGATGTGTCTCTTTTGATAATATCAAGTCAATAAAGGTCCTAGACGCTCTCTTCGATATGGTTCTGTCTGATCTCGGTACCTTGCCTGCCTGCCTGCCTGCCTGCCTGCCTGCCTGCCTGCCTGCCTGCATATATATATATATATATATATATTGTTAATTATGATAGGACAGTTTAGGGATCGTACGATACCTATTCAATAAATAAAGTCTACTTTTTAGTTAATTACGTGTGTGGTGAATGACAAAAGAATGAAACCCCGTGGTGATGAAGATGTACTATTCATTTACGGTGACCGGCAGCCTCAGCCGGTGAGACTTTGAGTTGTGAGCCAAATAAAGGTCTCACCAAAATGTGTCGTACCGGGCCAAACCACAGCCATTCGCTTTGAGTAGCAGTACCCGTGTTCCAAACCAGGCCGGTAATAGCGACTTGAATCGTTTCCTAATTCATTACTCCCCCACCCTCCCCAACAAACATAGGCCTACCACCAGGAATCTTCTGTGTCATACCGACGTGAATTGTCCGCGGGCAAGGAATATCAAAATCCGCTTGACGTTCAGCTGATTCCAGCACATCAATCAACTCGTGATCGGGATATAATCATGAGTACCAATCCTCATTTGTCCTCAACTGCAATCGCAGTCGGCTATGAAGATCATCCACTTCCTTACGAATTTCATCCGCCCCGAGGGGAACAGGGCACACAGACTAATCGCGTTGCTTACGCCTTTCTGCCCAAACTGCCCGGTACAGTTAGCGCGGCCTGGTCCGGTCGACCGGGAGCACGGACACCCGAGCCGGGTCATGTGATCCGTCAATCTCAACGAGTGATACCGCCGCCGTGTGAATATGATTTGTCCTCAAGTCCGGGTTCGCTCTCCATCACCCCTAGAACACAATCAGTTCAACCGGTTAGAAGCACAGCGGTCAGTCCGGTGTGTGCAAATCGATCTACCTGTACACTGATGGAAGGACGTATGCTTGTGCACAGTCGTTCCGGGGAGCTAATCACTTGTCGACCAATGCTGGAGCGGAAAAATATGATGAAATCTTCATCTGGTCTACTATCGTCCACATCTAACTGGTAAGTAGCATGGAATCCTGTTATAAACGAAAGAACTGAAAGCCCAGCAGTTTATTTTTTTGGCGAGTTTTTGAGATGAACAATAGAGACCTGTAGATAAAAAACAAACTTTGGCGATGCTACATTTTTTCGTGTATTTCGAACAAAGTGACTCTAGAATTCAATTTGGTGTGAAGTCATTTTGCCTAAATCTTACTACTACTAGTGGGATAATAAGTAATTGCATAAAAGAATGGGCAGCGCCGGCCGTAAACTGGAAATTGCCAAATCTAGTCTCACACACGGTTTGGGCGGACACAAAAAACAGTGAGGGCTGAGGAAGATTATGTTTACGTAAACCGTGGTTCTACAGTAAAAGGTAATCGATCAATAAACGATAAATGTAAGCAGACTTACGACTAGGTTACTTGACGCCAGCGTACAGACATTTTCAAACGTGGCGGTACAGAATGACGTGTAAAATTATGATATAGTCAAACCAAAACAGAAGTTGACAGTTATAACCACAGAAAAACAGAACTTCAGTAAGAAGTTACTGAATAAATAATCGTTCAATTTGGGTATTCTGTCATTGGGTATTCAATATTCAGTGTGGCACAGTCAGTGGATATTGTCATTTATAATCAAACTGCTCAAATATTTATAATAGTCTAACTGCAAATCCTGAAACATTGAAATTCTCTTCTGAAGAATTTACAATAATAATTAAAATGTAAAAGTTTGTGCAAGTACTCAAGCTCCCATGGCCGGATTACGGACAAGTGATCTGTCATGAAACATGGGACGAAATGATAATTAGGGACCAAGTATGACACAAATTGTTGAATGCTTTAATTACTTTTCCCGGTTTTCCCTCTCTGTTACTAGTTCTATTTATTGTGTTGTAATGGCATGATTAAGATACACTGATAATGAGCTTGTTTGCCTATTGGTGTTCTCATTATCAGATCAGTTTACACTGCTAAAGCCTGAGAAGAACGAACGATGGGTAACAGGATCAAGTTATATAATTCACTCACAGTCTTGCTAATCTTTCGTCGAAACCAGATTAGGAGGTTGACTTGAGGAGCCTTGCCTTCGAACCGACAAGACAGTGAATTCGAGTTGATAATCCACTAATAGCCGGTGTCCACGTGGTCACTCAGTCACTTCCTTGACGACCAATACACCTGAAGTAAAGATTCCTTCCAGAAAAGGCACAGGTTATTAAAAGACGTTCGGAAAAAGCAGATCGGAAAATGAAATCCGGTGACCGAAATACCCCCATTGGATCGCCTTCTAGCACTTCAGGGCGGTATTCATCCAGTTTAACCACACATATAAGCACTATAAAATTCGCCCTGTCGATAAAGGTTCCCCCAATTCCTACAGGACCCCTGTTATTTTTGCTTTAAATAATTTGCCCGTTGTATATGCAGACAACAATAAGGTGCCTGTTAGAAGTATTTCTTCGAAATATATGTTGAGCAAGAAATGGTGCTGTGCCGATGCGTTGTTGTACACCATTTCATCTCTAAGAAATGGAGATTGCGGGTGTGAAATTGGTCTCACCCGTCAGATCAGGACAAAAAATAGAGGAACGAAAAAGCTAATTGGACAGGTTCTGGTCTCCGGATAGGTTACCATCGTGCTGGGTACTGAGATACAAACTTACAACTTCCGAGTCGGTGTGACGAAGACGTTAACGACTTGAACATGGCTAGGCAGCTGCCGGAAGAACGAAACAGCTGCTCATTGCTATTTTCCAGCGATTACCCACATATTTTTTCTACGAAGAACAACTTACCACTAAAAGATCTTCATATTTAAATTAATTTGACTCGATCGATTTAGAACAAAACTGTACTATAATAAGTTCATTCATGCTTTCTTTCAACATATCAATACATAACACACACACACACACACACACACACGCACTCCCACATCGCGTTGCACCGGAGTGCGTCTAGTTGCGGTCCCATTAGACGATCCGAACTGTGCGGGATTGGACCATTATTGCCGCGTTCTCGATCCACGGACCCGGTTCTATTATGCTTTCGATCGAGTGATAAGTCGGAGAAAACCAGAGTGAGTATAGATGGCCACGGTGTACCCCCTATAGTGCTGACACAAACATATATACACGCACTAAAATCGGGAACAAGCTGCTACTCTATTATTGTTGATGCTGTCCGGCAGGATAGATGTACATATGGCTATAACTGCTTACCTTTTGTCTTTCCACACAACGGTGTGCAATGATCCACTGCGCTATCGTGTAGATTTGCCTATTTTAGTTCCTTATTTCAACTTTCGCAAACACAAACCTGATCTAAATTGCTGTATTATTTGTCAATCTGATGCTGTTATCCTTTTACTTGCCTTAAATGTTTACAACATGCTCCTATATGTGCCTGCTAACTCTCATGGCTTTGCTACTATTGCTGGTGGTGGCGGTGGCGGTGGCCAGTGCGATCAAACACCATTCCCGAACGAATTCATAATGGCCAAAAACCGCAATAAAGTAATTTAAACTCGTTGGAAACTTTTCTGATCACATGCGAAAATTTTACACCGCAATTGTTGTGCGTCTACTGGATCAGCTAAAGCCTGTAGAATGCACCGCAGCCGTACATTTAGTGGTCCATCATGTTTAAGCACACGTCTGAGTTCAGATCATGGTATAGTAGGCTTTGTGGAAAAGAAAAATGGTCTATAATTCGCTTCTCTCGAGGACACGATACCCCTAGGTTGCTCGGGCTAAAGCAGGTGAATTTTGTTAGGGAATCCACAACCGGACCCTTCGGCGGAGCGGTACGTGAAAACCGTAATCTATCAAGGGCCGATGTCCAGTTCATCGGATCACACGCCCACTGGACGGGGTCAAAATTCCAAGGTGCCCAATACACCTCGATGCCCAGCCGAGCTGGTGATCACTGTCACAACCAAGAAGGTGTGTGTCATTCGCAGGCCTCCTCTTAATTGGTTTGGAATCACGTTTTTTAGCCAAATCGTCTAGTTGAACTACCCGTGGTTCTTTGACCCGGTTATAGCCCCAGATTTGGCTTTCCGTCCCCTCACTTTGGTGGAAAAACACCTCCACCAGGAGAAGGTGGTGAGTAGGGCTGCCTCAGCAACTGCTATTTGAGACACTTTGTCGTCTGGGATCACTTCGTTATGTGCAATAGCGGGGCGACTAGCTACAACCCAAGACACCCACGCCGACCATATTG